TAAGCATGGCCTCAGCTACTGTTTTGACTTTTGTCTATGATTTGGTTTTATTTGATTCTCTTTATTGCATAAAGGGGACCTCGTTTTATATATTATGGTGATCGAAAATTAACCAAGTCTTTGTTGTGATGACCAAAATACAACAAGTTGGTCCTTGTTGTCCCGTTTGGAATGATTATTTCAATGTATGCGTATCGCATCAAATTATTGGATAAGTCATATATTTGTTTGAAAGCATTTTCTTATTGGTTAAACCGAAAACCGAACCATTAAAGACCTAAAACCGATAAACCGAAAACCGATAACAAATATCTTATTGGTTTGGTTATCGGTTTAGCATATTTAAAAACCGAAAACCGATAAACCGAACCGATAATACTTATAACCGAACCGAACCGACCGATACACACCCCTACCAAAAGGTAGTGTGAAATAGTGAAAACTCATTATTCTTAATAATGTCTAGTTCAAGTCTTGAAAATGAGATTATTATTAATAGCGAGTGTAAACTTTTTCAATTGATTTTCTATGACATGAATAGATCAACGGAAACATAGGAGGAAAAAAAAGGAATATACACTTTTTTCTGAGATCATATATAGTGATTAATTGCTCTTCAATTCAGTAAAATAAAAGGCTTTAATATGTATTAAAATAAAAAAGTTGAATCAAATTAAAAGCTTACTATTACTAAACAAACTTGATTGACGAATATAATTTATATGAATTAATCAGACTAATATTTCCAAATGCAGAATGTTTTAAAAAAAAGACTTCAAATTTAAATTGTTTCAAATTGTAAATGTTGGCACAAAATTATTTTGTTTTTTACCAAATTAACTTTTGGTATACAACAAAATGATATAGTAAAATTTAGAAGTGTTAGAATGTCTCATATTTTAAAATATTTCTCTCTAAATTTGAGCCAAGTGAATTATACATGATATGATATATCTGATTGTTTTTCTTCCACCAACCACTCTTTTAAATAACAATGTATTATATATATATATAATTCAAAAAAAAATTAAGCGCCTTATTACAAAAATGATCGTCACCCTAAATATCTCATATTGATTCGTGAAATGAAAGTGTTGCCTCTTACCATTACATTGCACAATACTTAACTCATGAACTAGTTTTTAGCATTAAATTTAGCACAATATTCACTTTCTTTACATGACAGTAAAATCAGACTCATCTGTATTTTTTTTATCAATTCCATCTTAACTTATATTTTACATTAGTCATAACAATAACATGCTTAACACAGTCTCACAAGTAAAATTTGAAAAAAGACAAAATATATAAAATAAAATAAAAACATTATCTTTATAGGTTTTCAACAAATTTTCAGCTTAGAAACATTTAGCTCTATACGTACATCCAACTAGTGGCATAACTCCAGTAACACAACTACAGGATGGTCACTTAAACATTCTACTTATATTAATTTATATTAATATTTTAAACGCTCTTAACAAAATTCATAACTTCGTCACGATATCTAACTATCGTTTAAGTATCGTCGTTTTAGATGATTTTGAACAATACTCACCGTATCAACTAACTTTTTAGTTTCAAACAGTCCAACTACTCCATCTGCTCCACATATATATACCGACATTTCAATCTTTTTTTCTGAAATTGAAAACCCTAACCCCTCAATTATTACCCTCTTTCTAAATTATGACTCGCCGGTTTAGATTTCTGCTAACTTCTAACTCCTCCTCCACTTCGCCGGCGGCGGAGGAAGCGGAGCCACCGTCAGCCACGGCAGCGGAGTCCGACTTCATCGTTATACTTGCTGCTCTACTCTGTGCAGTAATCTGTGTTTCCGGACTCATCGTAGTAGCTCGTTGCACTTGGCTTCGGCGGGACCCACCGGAAAATCCACCGCCGGTGAAGAATAAAGGCTTGAAGAAGAAAGTTCTTAAGTATTTACCGAAATTCAAGTATGATCCGTCGAACGGTGAGCTGCCGTTCGCGGCGGAGTGCGCGATTTGTCTGGTGGAGTACGTAGAGGGAGATGAAATTCGAGTGTTGCCGAATTGTGGCCACCGGTTTCACCTCCAGTGTGTGGACACGTGGCTTTTGACGAACTCGTCGTGTCCTTCCTGCCGGCAGATTCTCGTCGTTGCTCGTGCTCGGTGCCGGAAGTGCGGCGAAGTTCCTGCAATTTCCGGCGAATCTTCTGACGGAGGTCAAATTCTAACGCCGGTGTAGTCTACAACTTCCGGTAGGTAAACAGTAAACGGAGTTAATATGAAAAAGTCGGCGGCCGGAGCATCGTGATAAGTGTAAATTGGTAACGGTGTTGTTTTTTTCCGGTGACGGAAAAGGGCCCCGCATGAGGTCGAGGGATAAGGCATACTTTCCTTTTGATTATGATGGGAGGGTAAGAAAGTGACAAAAATGAAATTATGGCTGTTGGAGAGGACGAAGAATATTGAGCTTTTTTTTTTTTTTTCGAAAAAAGAAATCATTTTCATTTTTGTTTTATGTATTTAGTTTTTGTTTTTTCATTTTGGTACAATGAAAAAGACTAAAAATATAATTTCTAGTTTAATGTTGCGCGCATTGATTCGCCTCTCTTCAAATATGTTTAATAGAAGCCTTGTTGATATTCGATAAATATCTGCAATCTTCAATAATAGTTATTAGAGGATGATGTTGTATATAGGTAGTTTATTTCCATTCTAGTGGAATGACTTATAATACGCGATACAAAATTTACTAGATAATGAGGTTGTTCCTTTACCTTCCTCACTTAAATACCATAATTTAGTTTGTGAAAGTATGTTATTAACTCACACATTATGTGTTGCGTTGTTATTACTAGACCAAGAATTGTTGATCACTCAAAGCTTAGGGTGCTTTTACGCAGAGTCAAGAATTAAAATTTATGAATTCAAAATGGTTATTGGACCCTAAAAGTAAGAGTAATACATAGTTAGTCAATGGATTTCTTAAAACAGATATAAGATTTGAACTAAAATTACTAAATTCAATCGAGTCTATGAGTCCAATCTCATTTCTCCTAAAAAGCAATGAACCAAAGGGATATGTATAGATAGAGAAGAAACCCACTTAACACAAATACCACCTTACCTATTAGTCTATTACTATCACTTATGTTATAAAAAAAAAAAGCACAAATTGGGTAAAAGGCAACTAAATGTGGATACTCTATATTTGTTAATGTCAATAGTTAATTTTTATCAAACTTGAGTAGGTCAGTGGTAACAAATCAAGAAGCATGGTTTCCAATAACAAAATTAGTCCACGAAAACATAATTTGTGTCATTAATTCTTGCATAATTCATTTTGACTTGTCCAATCTAAAAATATGATTTGATATCTAGTTCAGATTGACTCATAGAAAATCTTATTAAAAAAGTTCTTTTTTTTTATTTGATATATATGTTATATATGGTCATAATAAAGACAAGATAGTTTTATCCAAAGATTTGACCTAATGCTCAATGAAGTGAGTTGAGAATCATTAAATCTCAGGTTCAAATATATTTATTGCGTTGGAGGTGGCAAATATTCAGTGGTATTAGTCGAGGTGCACAAAGTGGCCATTTTACTTGAACAAATTAATAAAAATTCAGTAAGAATTGAATGGGGTTGAGCTATTGAGCTATAACCCATTGTTTAGCTCATTTCAAGCCGAAGTAACTTTAGGGCAGGTCATTAACTCTATCTATTTTAACCCGCCCAAATTCAGCCCTACCGGGTAGTTTGACACTCCTAATATTGCAAAGTAACCACTAGAACAAGCAGAAGACATTCCATGTGTAAAAAGGGGTTAGGAGATAAGATGGAAAAAGTGAAGATATATCAGTTCCACCCTATGACCTCCTATATCTGGGTGAATAAGACCTGCACTAAAGCTTCTTTTCATGGCTTCCTTATCACTTCTAAACCTTCATCCACTAGTGGCAGTTTCACAGCTTCCAAACCAAAAAAACTGTTGCAGAAATTACGTATTTATAGCAACGTGCAAGATAGAAATGAGTGACGCATATCCTATTCATAATCCTGGTTTTTGTTTTGCCTCTACACAACACCAGAGACCACGGAAAAACTTACCTACACTCGATGTTTTACACAAACTACACTAGTTTACCTGATTAGTCTGATAATTCCAATGTGTACTATCTAGCAATTGTTAAGTACTCATGAGTTTGTATAAATACCGGGCATGGAAAACTTAAGTTAAGACAAGAAGCAGCATAGTACCTGGTTCTTGCATCAGAAGATCGTGTCCCTCAAGGCCAAACCTTTCTGCGAGTACCATTCTTGAAATGTGCCAAGCCATCTACAGATGTGAAAGAAATAGTGGACTTGAAAGTACCACCAGCCTCAGAAGCCAGAACTGCTGTGTTTGCTGTTGGGTGTATCAACAAGAGAATACACCTGATTCTCATAAGTCTTAACATAACCAGAAGTTTAAGAAATATAGCAATAACTGATTCTCATAACATAATATATTACTCTAGCTAGCATCACATAAAATCGCTTCTAAAATCATTTCTACCATCTCCAATCACCTGTTAGGACTTGTAAATACTGCTGCGTTTGCATCATAAACACAATTAGATCCGTAAATTTTATAGCAGATATCTTTGATAAAATATCTTGTCGATATCACTTGACATGAATGCACAATGTGCTTATGAGATTCCTTTAGTCTATGAACAGCTCTACAAGAAGTGAAACTGAGGCATTCGTGATCAGTCAACTTTAAAGGGTTTCTCCTATCATTCCAATCCTCCTTCATCTCCACTGCTATCACCAAACATGGCAGCCATTTTCATTGCCAAATTTGCAGCCATTTCCCTCCTTTGGAAGTCTGGCATTAACCTTAAGCTGTCTCGAACATTCCCAATCTCGGACATTAACTGTTCCAAATTCTCAAAATCATATGTTGTGCCTTTATCATCCTCTGAATCACCATCAGCTGCATCTGCTCTGGGCAGTTCTTTTCTGTCACTTTCTCCTTCCAATTGAGATGTAGAAGATGAGGGTTGCATTTCTCCTCTAATTAACCCGATTTCACTCTTTCCATTGGGAACTGATCCCTCGGTTCCAGTGGTTGCAACGGGAGCATCTGCAGATACCCATCCTATATCTGTGTCATCCCAGGGATCAGCCGAGCCAGCAGATAAGATTTCATATTCAAGTTCATAATCAGATTCTTCATCTGACAACTCTGAAAGGTGGGAATAAAAATGTTATGTCAATTGAATAGACCCTCAAAAAAGAAAAAGATATATTTTCATCATTGACCAGATATTGTAAGACCTTGATGTTCAGGTAATGAAGGTTCAGTAATCTTATCACCAGACTTCAAGATCATTCCAGGCCACATATAAGCTGAAAGTGCCCCAAAGAGCCGTTCAGCGCCCTGAGAATCACCATCCACAGAAAGACCTGCCATAAAAAGATTCTTAATTTTATTACTGAATTCCAAAAGGTAAAAGTTAAAAAGGGGTAAGAACTCTCCCATTTCGGCTTAAGCATCATTGAAATGACAAACTAGAACCAGCTCATGCATACAATAAAAAGCAGACACAAAAGTTATGAATCATAATTGGCTGCAAAATGGAGCAGGCATGCCACGATGGGGCATCAGGTCCCAAAGCTCTGCAGCAACTAATATCACAACATGTGTTGTATCATGAGTCATACTAATGTCGGCATTTAGGGCCAGTGAGTGAACTATTGGGGTATAATTTAGCTACATTTCAGATTTACTCCCATTTGCAATTACCATAGATTGCCAATAGACAGATTAATACAAAGGCATATCCAGGGACATGTGAGTAAGTATCTTTCTATATACAGATAATGCCAACCGACAACCTTGGAGTGACAAAAGACTCCATTTGGAACTACACTACGAAAACCTACAATGTATAGACAATGATTGAAGCTGCCACAAATCTCATCAATGGTGGCACAGTAAAATAACTGGGACTAAAATAAATAAAATTCTCTAATGGGAACCTTCAGACACTCCCCTTAGACTTATATGAATCAAAAAGCAAAACAGATAACCTTAACCACCTCAATTCTCTTCCTTTCACTCTTTTGCTTCTGTATATAAGTGATGCAGCAAAAGGATTTTATCTTCTAATTAAAAAAAGAAGAGATTGAAAAACCGGGGAACAAGGAACGTTGTGACAAAGAAGGATAGAAATGTCATAACAAAAACTAAGACATACATTTGTCAAATTCAGCATTTGATGCACAGGCTTCAACATATTCTATGCTGTGTTCGAGGCACCATTCCAAGTAGGACCTTTTAGTATCAAATGAATCATCATCATCTCCTAGTAGACTGCTTCCTTCTGTTTCAGAAATTCCAGAATCCATTTCTGTATAAGGGCTACCAGAGGAGTCTGCACTTTTCAACAGGCGCCGTCTGTATTCAACATGAGCAGAATGACCAGGAAGAAGGTCCACTTTGTTGCCAATGCATAACAAAATCTCAAACTTAAGGATGTCAGTGCGGGAGACAAAATCTTTAAGTGTAACAAAAGATGAGAGCTGCAGATGGTAGCAGAAGAGAAGTCATCAGATTTCTGAAATAGAGTCTATAGTCTCGTAGATAACAAAAGCTTTTGAAAAGTAGGAAATGAAACAAATAGGGAAAAGGGTCTGGCTTACATCAGTAACGTCAAAGACCATCACCAATGCAACAAGCTGATCATATGCTGGCAGAGCTCCAATGGAAAAGTCCTCATGAAGATGGGCCATCCAAACAGAAACATCAGCATTATAATACTTGGTGTTGATTGTCCACCTGGTCAACAACGCAATGATGCATAATGATAACATAGAAAGGAAGTTCTAGATACAAGAGAATTTTTTGCAACAATATAACTAATGAAAGGGGAGGGGATATACTTTGTCAACTTACGGATAGGATAGGATGTTAGAAGATGATTCGAAGGAATCTTCAGAATCTACTGAAAGTAGTCCTGCACGCAAAAAAGTTGAAGTTTATCAGGCAATGTAAAATAAAGTAAATTCACATCCACAAATTAGGTCATTAACCCAATATATTTTATTCGAAATATGACGCAGATACAGCAGACTTGGTCAATGTACCCGAGCCAAATAACAGCATTGTTGACACATTAAAAAATGAACACCGAAATTCTTCTTCACTCACAACCAAGAAAGGAATGAGACACTAAATTAGGATTTACACGTGATCCTTTTTAATTCTCCTGGTGTTGAGATAAATCAAAAGAACTAAAGGAAGATAATTCCAGGAAAACCCAAAGGGACTTGACAAAAAAAACTGGATAAAGTATACTATACTTACAGGACAAATTATAAAAACAAATGTAACATGTTTCTCTGATGAAGTTAGAGGCGCCTGGTATCTGTTACAAACTCACGAATACATTTCAAGTAAAACTTGGATAACTTATCAAAGAGAAGCACACTACTTGATCTGAAGGTAAGTTCCACATATGCATCAATTATATGGGAACTTGGGAAGAACCTTTCTACAAGGAACAAATTTGGACGCACACCAAACATGTCTTGTATGATAAAAACTTACAAAGTCGGAAAAGTTTCATTTCTTTTTTCCTTTCTGTTGGTTGACCCAGGCCAAGGTGGTTGGAGACTTACAATTGATTGTGATAATTTTTTCATTAGATGTCAGGATTTTTTTGAGAATGGAAAAAAATGAAAAATCCTGACATCTAATGAAATTATTATCTAGATATCTAAAAATATTATTGTAAAACAGGATCTGTTCTACTGCAGCTGCTAACTTTAAAATGTTTTATTTCACCCTCTTAATATATATATATATATATATATATATATATATATATATATATATATATATATATATATATATATATATATATATATATATATATATATATATATATATATATATATATATATATATATATATATATATATATATATATATATATATATATATATATATATATATATATATATATATATATATATATATATATATATATATATATATATATATATATATATATATATATATATATATATATATATATATATATATATATATATATATATATATATATATATATATATATATATATATATATATTACATGGACTCCAGTTTGCATTTTATATATAGTACACATTTGACACTAGTATTATAAATTATTGGCAGGACTTAGTATTTTTAAGGATTCATACCAAGAGGGTGTTTAGTTAAAGCTTATAAGTTGGTCAAAGTAGCTTATAAGCACTTTTTACCTTACATATGTGTTTGGTAAACATCAGAAGTGCTTATAAGCCTAAAGCCATAAATTGGTCACACCCTAACCTATGATTTTCCAGCTTATAAGCACTTTTGGTTCGACCAAATCTTTTATGACTTTATCCCTAATATTTTTTGCAATCTCCAACATACTCTTTTCAAACATAACTTACAACTATCTCTCTATTTTGTTTCTTTCATTCATCCATGTTATGTAAACATACTTTTAAATTTTATTTTTTAAAATAGCTTTAAGGATATCTCAGTACACAAAACTGCTTATTAACAACTTTTTTACTAAACACACTAACGGCTTATCATCAGCTTCAACACCTCTATCCAAACACAATAGCTGATTATTTATAAAATCAATTTCAGCAATAAAAAAGAATTCAGCACTTGATGCTCATCAGCTAACCCAAACAGGCTTTAAATCTTCCTTAGCAATTTCACACAACACGTAGCATTCAAGAATGTTGCTCTTCTATTCTTGGATCAGTGATTTCACCTTTTGATTCATGTCTCTCAAATATTTTCAAAGGAAAAGTAGTAGAAGTGGTTGCATTCTCAAAGAAATATAAGCACTATACATAAGATAAGTAATTATTGAAAGACTTCCATTAAATAGTACTCAGTAATGAATATCTTCATGAATTTAGTAAATCAAGATGTATTTGCCAAAAAAACAAGAACATATTTAGTAACGAAACTTACAGATCTTTTCTAGTTCTTTCAATTTAGAAAACAAAGAGTCTTTTATCAAATACATTGTTTCAAATTTATTGAAACACTTGCTCCAACAATCCTCCATTTGTTTCAAGAAATTTTGAAAATTTCCGGACATTAATTTAGCAACATGCATCAATAATGGTGTCTTTTGGACTTGAACAAATAACTAATGAAGAGTTTCTAAATCATTGACTACTTAGTGAACACATTTTGAACTAAGTAATTTATTGAATGAAGTAGAAAATACACCTACGCACACTACTATGTTTCGGTGAAAATCGACCCAAATTTCCAATTTTCAATTTCCAATTTCCATTTCCTTAAGACTGTTGAACTTGGCCCAAATTCCATTTCCATATTTCAGTTCAAACTGTTGGGAGATATTATTATCCTTGTTCTAGTATTTGGCCCATACAACATAAGGGCTCACAAACTCACTTGTGTGGCAAAATGTGAGTGAGTCTTATGAGGGCAAATATGGAATCTTACATTGTAATAAGAATCTCCTAGAAAAGTTAGCAAAATACACCCATTTGGCATGGATGCTGAGGAAATGAACAGGTCAAAAATAAGGGCTTAAATTCAAAATGCAATCTTTGGGAGTGCAAATATGGCATGAGTCCTATCAAGGCAAAAGGGGAATCTTATTTATCGTAAAATCTCAAAGAAAAATTTAATAGTATGAATATGGGCCCTCTTTTCTTTTTTATGAAAGTGGTGTCTGAGTCAACTAGCACAGAACACGACTATTCCAAGTACATGTTACCTCCCACCAACACAAGTACCGGTAACTCTGTGCACTAAGACTTGAGACCTTATATTTTCCTCCTACTTCATTGACCACTAGAACATACCCTTGGATGCTCTACGAATTGGCCCTCTTGACTCTTCAGGGCAACTTTTAGTTGGCATTATGAACACAAATTGAGAATTAGCTCCATCTTAAGTGACTTACTTCACTAACTTTAGACAATTTTATTTTACATCAGAAATAAGATTCATACTAGATAATTCAACAGAAGGGTGTGGAGTGAGTTATAATCAATGAGTCAATTCATAACCAAACATTCTCTACCTAGCACGGTAACCACCCACCACCAATGAATTGTCACGATTTGGGCCAGCTCATCATCTCATTTTCTGTTTGACTAGCATTCGTTTAGTAGCTTCTTTTAAAATTAAAAAGGAAAAGACCAAGGGTACACTTGAAGTATTCGATTCGCCTTACATTTTCCCTCTGTTACCTTTAAATTGGTGGGTCCCCTCAGCTTCTATTTAGCACCTCCTACCCCCCTCAACCTTATGGACAGACAGAAAGGGTCAACAGATGCATTCAAACTTACTTGATGACGTGCATGACTTATAATAGGCCTACTCAGTGGAAACAGTAGCTCAGTTAGGCTCAGTTAGGCTGAATGGTGGTACAATGCCAGCTACCTTGCAGCCTCAGGACAAGAGTACTCCATCCGAAGCTCTGTCTGGTTACCCCCCTCCTCAGTTATCTGTTACTCCTGATCTTGATTCCACAGTCCAACCAGCTGAAGATTGGGTGATGAAAAGACAACAGATGCAACAACTACTTAGGCTCGGGAGAGAATGAAATACTATGCTGATAATAACAAATTAGAGATAATTCCAAGTTGGAGACCTAGTTTTCATCAAACTACAACTATACAAACAGATGTCAGTGGCGTTCAGAACTCAGTAACAATTTTTGTGGTCCCTACAAGATGTTGGAAAGAATAGGGAAGATGGCCTACAAGCTGGAACTACTGGCTAATTCCAAGACGCATCCAACATTTCATGTATCCTTATTGAAGAAGGTTCTCAATCGAGCTAGAGAAGATGCCAGTTCTTAGTTAAGCCACTAACTATATTAAGGAGACAGCTAGCTAAGAGGTGCAATGCTGCTGCTGCTGTTAAGATCGTGGTACAATGGTCTAACTTGCCTCCGGAGGATGCTACGTGGTAAGATTTTGATTATACCAGAGCTACATTTCCAGAAATGTGTATGATCCAGATTAAGAGCTGATGGAGGGCTAAGATCCAAAGTTGGATAATACATAACCAATGGATTCTAAGAAGAGACTAATGAAATTGGTAATTTCCTTCTTCACATGCTCCTTCCTTCTTCTCCTCTATTCTATTCTCTCAATCATCAATCCTTCTTTCTTCTATTTCTGCAGGTTAAGAGGTCGACGACAATGGTGATTTCTATTCTGCAGTTAGTTAATTAGTTTGTCATTTGCTCCTTCCAGTTTTAATTTTGATTTGATAAAGTAATAGAAAATTATCCCAATCTTCCATATCCTTGGACTGTTACAACAAAGTTGAACTTGACCCAAATCGGAACTACCCCAATTAAACATATATACAACAGGACTCATATAAAATATTCCCAATTTTCATTTCCTTGTACTGTTAAACAAAGTTGAAGTCGATCCAATTTGAATTACACCAATTAAACACAAATTCACACAAAAGATTACAAATTTATGCATCAACCGACATCTCAATGCCAAATTAGTTGGGTCACCCACATGAATCATCAGTATCCATTCCACTTATTCTGAGTCGCATTTCATTCTATACAACTAACTAATAGCAGCAAAGGAAACATAAGGTTGTTATTTTCTCCTCCCAATTCGCAATTCCGAGTTTCCATTACGTTAGACTGTTACACAAGAAAATTGAACTCGATCCAAATTGGAATTACCCCAATTAAACACAAATACAACAGGATTCATATAAAATTGTCCCACTTTCCATTTCCTTAAGACTGTTTAACAAATCTGAACCCGACCCAAAGTGGAACTACCCCAATTAAACACAAATACAAAAGAATTCATATAAAATTGTCCCAATTTCCATTTCCTTAGACTGTTAAACAAAGTTGAACTCGACCCAAAACACAAATACACCCCGAGAAAAAGAGATGTATATGAATCATCATATGTGTCTAATCTGCTCTATTCGGTCCAAATAAAGAGAGCATAGAAAACTTACGAGCGATAAGGGCACGTTTGCCGACATTGGGAGATCCAAGAATGAGAATTCCTGGCTTCTTCTCGAGCGATTTACTGTTAAATGTTGGAGAATCCTGCTCCTGTTGATGATCCATTACCTTCCTTCCTTCACTACAGTAGATGCAATGCAATGCTCTGTAGAAGAGAGGAATTTGTTGAGCTTTAATATGGTAGTGTTTTGACTCTAAAAATATTGATTATATGGTATCTTATCATACTATATTATTTTAATGAATACAATGTTTGAATATCATTTTCTGTAGTTACATAATGTCAAACATTCAAATAATAAACGTACCAGAAAAGTAGGGTAGGAGGTAGATAAATGATGAAATATGATTATTAAATAATAAATAAAGGAAAAAATGAGAAGAAAATATTAAGGTAACGACGTGATCACACCAAATCGATCATTACATAAAATGGGTTTTTTCGTCATTACCTTACGATGAATTTAAACGATACGATACGATATATATTAAGTAACAATCAAAACAAACATCGTATTTAAACTAACAATACAACACAACAGGTGACAACCATCCAAACAAAGTTTTAATTATAATTTCACTAAATTATTTACTTATATATTTTAAGACAAAAGGGAGTGTTGGAGCAACACTAAAGTTAGTTTCATCGAGTTTGAGCGGTGAAAATGCTCGAGCTGTCCTTTTAGTATGATACCGGCGGTTTTACATCTTTATGTATTTATTTTCTTTACCAAATTGTAACTTTTAAGTACTTTTCGCAGTCATTACTTTGGGACGGAGGGAATAATTAAAGAAGGTGACATATTTTAAGTGATTAAAAGGAGTAATGGACCATGAGAATACCTACAAAAACTTTTCCAAAATTTGAGCTAAAAATATGTTCATGTACTTAATTAGAACATATCATAGTTCAAGCGTCTAGGTGAAATATACTAGTAAGTTCCAAATACTCTTTTTCAACTTCGAACTTCAAATATTGTGAAAACCGCCTACTTAGATTATAAAGAAAGGGGAATAAGCAAGTGTATCAATAAAATGTTCAAACATTAACATTAGATGGTGCTAATGACAAACTTGACATCCAAATCTTGAAACTCTGAAAGAGATGAATTCATAACTACAATCTTGTTAACTGATTACTTCACTTCTTTCTGGGAAATCACCAACATTTCTGTAGGTCTCGCATGAATCACCTCGAGTCACGAAAATACAGTTGACCAGACCTCATATTCAGGGAAAGAAAACAGTAAGTTTTTCAAATGTCTAGTTTAGGTAACTTATTCTGTGGCAGCTCTCTTAGCTCCAACGGCGAAGAACTCTGTAATGACTTCAAGGGGCATGCCCTTTGTTTCAGGAACTTTCAAGAAGACGAATACCCAAGCCACAGCACACACAACAGCATAGATGGCGAAGACACCTCCAAGTCCAATGGAGTTGAGCATAATGGGGAGCGAGTAGGTGACAATGATGTCTCCGATCCAAAAAGTAAGAGCACATATAGCAATGCAGATTCCACGAACGCTGGTGGGAAATATCTCAGAGCAGAGGATATTTGGGATAGGACCAAAGCCCATAACAAAGGTGCAGAAGTATACCACAACACTAACAGTGGAGATCACAGCGTGCATGACCTCACCCATGTTAATAACATTGCCAAGGACTAGTACAATAAGTGACGATAACAAGACGGGCAATGTAGCCAGCAAAAGCCACCTGGAGAAGAAACAGACAGTAAAACTTCTCTTAGACGGAAAGTCGAAAGAGTTAAAAATGCATGCTTCTAAAAGAATTAGATACTTTCATATATGCAGTTCACTCAACTTCAACATGGTCAAAGTCCAAGTAATAATTGAACAAAATACGTGATCAATAAGTTTAGCGTGAAAAGTCCCTTAATAGTTGAGAGGATGGGTTGTTGATTATTATCATTATGAAGTTTCGAACAATCCTGATCTTGTGAACTAACTTACTCTCCTGATGACTTATCTAAACTAAATAGGAAGTAATTTGTTTAACCCTATTTGTAAGGGTAGGATTGTTTGAACTTCAAAGATTTCTAGTCTTCAAAAGAAAAGACATTTTAGATGTTGAAAAGAACGGATCTTAGGCCTAACTCAACCCCAAAAGCTAGCTCCTCCAGATTGATTTAGTAACAAAAAACAGATCTAATCAGGAGGTAACTATGGTGTACGATGAGTAGACGACCGAGCAAGGGTTGATATGTTATCATTTTCATAGTTTCATAAACTATACAATTAATAGAATCGTGAATACCTTCTGCCAGCCAAGTCCATTAGTCTCATTGCAACACCAATGGTGGGAAGCATTAACAAAGTTGTGACAGCACTTATGAGGAAAGACGCAGAGTCTGAACCAATGCCCATATTCGATAGCAGAACTCCTACGCCTGCTTGTTCAAGAATTTGAGGAGTGTAATAAAGAACCCCGTTGATTCCGGAAAACTGTACAAGGACCAAAGTAAATCAGTAGCTGGATTGAAAGTAAATGGTTTAGTTCATATGCAAGATAAGGTGACAAAAGGGAGTTAATATTAAACACAACATATGAAGGTAAGAAAACTAATGAAGTTTTTTTGTCGAGTAGAACAACTAATGAACTACAACTTTTTTGTTTGACATAGTCTTGCAGGAGAACCTGCTCATGATCTTAGTTTCCTATGTACTTACGACTGCCTGATGACTTATCTTAACCAAATGGGAAGTAAGTAAGTTGCTTTTCCGATTTGTAAGGTAGGATTGCTTTAACTTCAACGATTTCTAGTCTTCAAAAGAAAGACAATTTAGATGTTGTAAAGAAATGGATCAGGAAGGATTGCCCAAGTCCATATAAGCATACCACCATCTGACAGATGTCACTAAGCCGGAACCTCATTTAATTATCAAGGCCAAACAGCAAGTTCATAGAACAACTTTTACCTGCTGAAGTATTTGAAGACCAACTCCAACAATCAGTGCATGCTTGACTCCTGGCTCAAGAAGTGCTTTCCAGACTGACTTCTTCGTAACAGTTTCAGATTGTGTCTCGATTGCTTCTTCTATAGACTGTTGACCCAAGAGGCTCTCAGCACGAAGAACAGACTGACTCACTAAAGCAGCAGCATGAATGAATTCACCTTGATCTGCATGAGTATCTCCTGGAAGAGAAATAATGGACCCCCGTCGTGATCCACTGCCTCCTTCTTCATGTAAATAGATCCTTTTGAGTGCTCCTTCCTTTTTCTCATCTTTTCTGTATGCTAGCTGCCAACCACCACCAATACCCATGCTGGCTTGCTCGCCGACGCCATTCGCCTGCATGAAATTGCTGCCTTGCCTCATGCTTAATGATGTTGGAGGTCCCATATTTCCTTCTGCATTTGTACCTTGACGTGAGAGCAGTGGGCTTCTCAGATTATCATCAGATTCTGCCCCAGAACCATCAGACATATGATTTTCCTCATCCTTTTGGCTTTCTTCATCCCAATTATCAGTTTTTCCTTGATTCTCTGTGATATTGAACATGCTGCCAACATTCGAAAAGAGCATGCTTCCCATCTCCGGCATCTTCTCATGAACACTGCCAAACAGAGTAACCAACGGATCCATAAGAGGCATGCTTTGGTTTGCCATACTCCCGTGACGGGAGACCAGGCCTAGAGTACTTTGTCCAGTGACAGGTTTTGCTATCCATGAAAGACCCTCTTCAGCTCCATATAACTTGATCTGATCTTTCTCATCCTGGTTGTCCACAAGTTCATTGTCCGGACCAATTATATACTCTTCTATAGATACTTCACCTCCAACACCTAAACCTTCCATCAACAATGCCATTTCGCCTGTAGATTGAGAAAATTCCATTAGACATCAGAATCCTGGTCTAGAGTGTTAAAACCAGAGGAAGATAATTAACTTCAAGTATGAAAAAGTGTAACCTGAACTTAAGAACAAAACCTTAAAGAAAAATATTGTAATAATTCAATGGAAATAATGTACACTTCTTTTTTATAACCGAGAAATCCCCTAGTGCTGTTGGTGTATGTGTCTGAAACTAGATGAATAATGAACTGGCCACTCTACCCTTCTCCACTTAAAATACCAGTTTCTTGTCTGCCACGAAGTTCGAAATCATGATGTGCACCTAACCCTTACTTCACACTTGCCTCTTACCACTAGACCAAAGCTCGGGGAGCGATGGAAATATTGTATATTTGTCAACAAATAGATGATAATGAACAAAAAGGATTTCACAACCAACATATAATCTGATAAGTAAGGCTTCAAAACAAACTTGTATCTTATGCATAGTTGGTTCTAGTGAAACAAGCCATTCAAAGAAACATTGCTGATTACACTAAAACCGAGAGGATCACAGAGTTAGCTCATTTGGCTCTTAAAAGTATTCTGAGGAGCAAATATATTCTCTCATACAACAAAGAAATAAGTTAATTGTGAACAAAGAAAGGAACCACGAGACAAACCTGAGACATCTTCCCTGCCACGTAGTCTCTGTAAAACTTGTTTAGCCTCCTTCATTCGACCTTTACTGACCAGCCACCTTGGAGATTCAGGTAAGTAAAACAATGTAAGAAAGAAGTAAGCAAGAGAAGGAATTGATAGAACCCCAAGCATTAGCCTCCAACTTGGTGCTTGTGTCAGTGACATTCCAAAAACCATGCAGTATGACAAAAACATTCCGAGAGAACCGGTGAACTGTGGAAATGTATTCAATTGCCCTCTTATTTCTGGTGGGGCAGTCTCGGATATATAGACAGGAACAAGTGTCACCGCAAGACCAATTCCAAATCCATCTAAGAGCCTTGCTAAAAGCAACACATAAACATTTGGAGCCCATAACATCACTAATCCACTGAGGAAATAAAGTACTGATGAAATTATAAGCATTGGACGTCTTCCAAGCATGTCCGATACAGGTCCCGAGAATGTTGTGATCACTGTTGCTCCAATTAGAGACATCGCAACAATTAGCCCTTCCATGGTTGGCTGTGTTTGCAAATTAAATTCCTTCTTGATGTAAAGAACAGATCCTGAAACAAAATAGACATTTTCTTTCAATAAGATCACTGTTCAAGTTGTGCTTCAACATGAATTCATTTGAAAAGAACAAGTTGAAGATTTGCGAGTAAAAACTAAGACAAGCTTTTTAATATTTCCAGCATTTCAAAA